TGTTCTCACCATCTGATTAAACTTGCATTATATTTCATACAAAAGATACACAAATATGCACACACTAAGAAGCACATATTCCCAGATAATTTCCAATGCAAGTAGTTCACAACTTACACACGTAATTGTTCATATCAAAACATTTAGGCATATAATCAATGCTTCCAAATTCATATTTATCACATGAATGCATCCTAGATCTTATCTAGACGCTTATTGCTCTTTTTGGACAAGTGTGTGAGTTATTAACTCGTGCTCTGATACCACTCTGTCACTACCCGAACCCGCCCCTATGGGTTAAGGACGTAACCGACCAGTAATCCTGAGATTACCTACGGCCTCAAACCAAAATAGACATAACTCAACAGAGTAAAGGGGCCAAACGGAAGCAATAATCAAAAACTTTGTCCATAGAGCCGTGCTTATATGCACTTCAAAATATGCACTTCAAAACAAACCATACTCATATACGTTAATAACCCACGTCAAAAGTACAGTACCATAAAATTCTTTACAGACAGGATCATCCAAACTGAGTCAACCCATATCAAAACTATATACAGATGTACACAAATGTCCTTGCCAACAAGACAAAATATAAATACATAACAAAATGGCAAGGATGGGTCTCGTACGTGAGACACAAGGCTGACTCTCCAAAACTCATGTTGTTCCTGGCAGACTTCACTGGGGCTGGGTTTGGACTTCCCTCGGCTCACCTACAAACACATGAATGAGCATGAGCGATGATAGCCCTGTGAATAATATCGAATACATAAGTTACATAAGCAATATGAAGAACAACATGCTTCGAACGGCCTTGGGCCCAATGCATATTTCTGCTTAACATATATACACTTATACAAAATTCAGATCAGATGACTGTAGTTCCAAACATACTGGCCTTTGGCTCAATCAGATTTCCATTCATGTCAAAACGGCCTTCGGCCCATTCATTCATGTCAGAACGGCCTTCGGCCCATTCATTTATGTCAGAACGGTCTTCGGCCCATTCATTTTTGTTAAATCGGCCTTTGGCCCATTCATTTACATCAAAACGGCCTTCGGCCCATACATTCGTGTCAAAACGACCTTAGGTCCATTCATTTATGTTAAAACGGCCTTCGGCCCATACATTCGTGACAAAACGACCTTAGGTCCATTCATTTACATCAAAATGGCCTTCGGCCCATTCATTCATGTCAGAACGACCTTCAGTCCATTCATTTCTATCAAAACGACCTTCAGTCCACTCATTTCTATCAAAATGACCTTTGGTCCACAATCCCAATTAGCAACTTATAAGGCTTATAAGGGAAATAACAATTGGACATTGACAAGCTTTCAAATATCGATATTACTCACAGTGATCGGCTTGTGGATTTGCCCTGGAGTTTGACCCTACACATTTCATCAACACAAGAGGGTCGCTAATAGTTCAATTTGATTCACATATTCCTCTTTAGGCTTTATTCTTATCTCATTAACTCATTTACAATGCTTAGCATATGCCTAAGAGTGCTTACAAGTGAAAGAGAGCGGAAAACGAAACACAGAACGAGCATACAAAATTTTAGAGAATAGGGTCCCCGCTCGAGCGTCAACTTCCCTGCTTGAGCGGACCCTTAAGGCTTGCAAAAGTACTAGTTGCATGAAAAATACGCTCGAGCGTGGGATAGAGCGCTCGAGCGGAAGGCCTGTTTACAAAAGCTTCCCGCTCGAGCGTGAGATATCCCGCTCGAGCGGGCATCCAACTCTGCAAAAAGTGCTGGGAGCATGATTTTTCCGCTCGAGCGGCTCTTTCCCCACTCGAGCAGACATAAAAAATCTGGGTTTTCCAGATTGAGTTCTTGAGCTCCAATTCGAATTTCAACCAACAAAACATGCATGTTAAGGCTCAAATCTCAAATATAGTTATGCTAACATGCCATAAACACCAAAACACATTACAATGGAGCCCAATTCACAATTAATTCACATGCATGCCCCAATCTCCCATCAACTCATTCTAATACAAACAAAATCATACATTCAAAGCTCATATCTTAATTATTCGAACATGCATGCTAACCTTGATTTCATTTCCATCCCAAACAATGCAAATGGTGTTCATTCTCATGGAATACAACAAAAGCATGCTTGCATGTAAGATTTAACACCTTTATTTCCATGTTCAACTCAATACACGCTAGATTAAGCATTTCCACAACAATCATATACATGAATGCCTTCATTGACCTTCAATTGAACACAAGCAACTCAATTCCCTTACATTCAAACTAATTCATGCTCTTGATCATCTATTAAACTTGAATTCACAAGATGATGACTATAAATGCATGAATCACTCACCAAGGAGCTCTAATCTTCCCAATTTGGCAATACTTGAGCTTAATCTCCAAAAGGTCCAAGTCTTGAACCACAAATGCAATATTCTCTCCTCTCTCTCTCTAACAGCCGACTCTCTCTCAATCTCAATTGTATAACTCAGATTTTGAGTTCAATAGGGTTAAAGGAGAGTGTAGTGCTAACATACAACAAGCCCCATTAACATATTACTTTAATATAAAATAATTGGGCACTCAATTCATCAATTTAATCAGTTTAATCTGACCCGAATGAATTTTCAATTAAATTTCATCGTAGGCTCTAAAAATTACGCTAATCACAATGGCGTAATCAATTCGGGTTTTGTGGCCGATAAGGCCCTCAATTTAATTTCCAAAGCAGATTATTCAAAGAGATTCCTACGGTGAACAGATAAAACTTCAAAATCACATATATTCATATAATGGCACATAAAATCATGCCAAACACATAATCATACTCAAATTAAGGACCAATTAGCATACTACGGGACAGGGGTATCACAATGGCTATACAAAGCAATGCATGCATGACTAAAACAACATGAGACAGAGCTAAAGCATGATAAAACATGAACAAAAGCTTCTTATAGTTGAACCAAAAGCATGCTAGAATGATGGTCTAAAACATGATGCATGTTAGGCCAATGAATGGAATTGCACTACAAGTGCAAGGAGCATGCAAGCGGCTATCAAACTAACCCAAAATAAAGTCATGGCATGCTAAATAATGACAAAAAACATGCTGAAATGGAACCAATACATGCTAGACAAACATGCTACTTTGATGAGCCATCTACACAAGCATGCAAGACATAAGGCGAGGGGATGACCCTCTCCTATTTAAGACCTCAAAATACACTTTTCACCATTAAAATTCCTCTGGAATTTAGTGGTAGAATGGTCATGCAAAGACTAAAACAAAAGCCTAAAGAGGTGGCCCAAAACAAGGCAAAACAAGACACAAATGGGGGTAGACCACCCCCAACACCAACAAGACCTTAAACGATCATTTCAAACACATGAAAATGAAGCTTTTTACAGTTGAGAGTTAATCCAAAATAAGCATGCAAATAAGGCTAAGTAAGCAATGAACACAAAGCTTAAAAGAGGGTTAGTGACTCACCCTTGTAGAACAACTTCAAAGAGGCAACTCTACCAACTTTCTGAGCTAAAAACCAAAATTTGAGTTCAAACAAAATCCTCAAGTACCTCAGCAACAAGAGTATGGTGTTTGAGTGCAAAAGTGTGAAGAAATTACACTTTTGAGCACAAACAAGTGGAAATATAGAGAGAGAGGAAGAAATATTGAGAGAGAGTGATATATAACTTGTATCTCAATTTTTCAGAACCTCTGGAAAGGGAGAGGGGTCTCCCTTCTTATAGAAAATCAAATCTCAAGCTTGTTGAGCAAGCTTGAGACTTGTTTCAATCCCTCCATACACGTGTATGGAGGATGAAATCTGTGCTCACCAGCTGTCACAGCTGGCACAAAAATATCTGCAAAAGCAAACAAAAAGGCCTCGGCCAAAAGATATGGCCAATTGTCCAAAAAGAGTGCCGATCGACCATCATTGATGGCCGTTGACAAGAAAACATAGCCGATAAGCAAAAGGCTTGGCTGATGGGTTGTAGGGCTGGCCAACGAGCCACCCTCTTCCCTCAGAAACAAAACCATAAGTCCTTCGTCTACAAGCAAGCACAAAATAGACAAGTTGAGAGGTTCTAAGGCAAGGTGCGCAGCCGAGACCTTCGGGAACTCAAAACGAACACGAGCATGGATGATCATCGAGGGTCGTTCAAAACATATGATATGAATACAAATGTTTTACATCGCTATATGACTCATGCTACGATGGGTTATTTTATATGTATGAATGGATGTCCTATTTTGAAATGTGCTTTTAACCTTTTGTATAAGTGGGCATACCACGTACCACGTAAAATGTTTTGTAATAGTTTCAAATATGTATTCCATTTGAAAAGGCATGGATTATGATATGATAAATGTTTATTTTGAAATGATTTAAGATACGTTTTAGAATTGTGAAATATGTTTTCTTAATGTTAAGGACATCATTCATTAACCTCTTTACTTTAATATTAATCACTGGGCGTTAGCTCACCCTTTTGTTTTATATATATGTAGGTGAGCCATTGAGGATCAACACTAGAGTTGTACCGAGGTCCGCTTCTCTATCAAGCCACCCGAGAAATGTCTTCGTATAGAGACGTAGTATAAGTTACCAAGCCTAGTCTTGTTCAGGCTATGATGGCTTGTGTTGCACATTAGGTTCATATGTAAATTTTGGGTTGTGAACTTTTGTCTATACCTATATGACTTGGACTGTATATACATGAACGACATATGTGACATTTGTATATATGCTGTAATGTTTAAGATCCTGGCATTTAAGCACTGCTCAATGGACGTTCTGTTATTATTTTTGGTAACTGATTCCACTTAAGGCCCCGTATTTGAATAAATATTATTCTGAAATTTTGTTTTGAGGCCTAAGTACAAGCCGATCATGGGCCAAACTTTTAGGGCCGGGTTTAGGGTCGTGACACCAAGTCAGGGATATCCTCGCTATATAGTAGCACCTTTACCCTCAGAGTTTATGACTCATTTATGAACCAAACACAACATTAAGGTTTTTATATATTTCTAAGGTGTTGTTCTAATTTTAAATTTTAAAAAGCTTCAATCCATATGCCACGAATTGGGTATCAAGATGGATCAGATCGGTCAGAATGGTATACCGTTGAGCGTCTTCTACGAAAATATGCTGCTTTATATGGCATAAAGATTTTTGTGTACGTCTCTCTCAAAAGCTCTCCTGCTATTGTATATACAACCATATGTAACATAATCTTAATTTTATTACTGTCATATTCTGCAGGTATTATTTTCGACGTTCATCTTGAGGCCGGAGGCTGAACAGTGTATTTAGCAATTGCCACTAACATATCCATGGTGTTGTATCTTTCAGATAATTGACAATGAATTATGTTGACTTCATTCCATGTTTGTGAACGTTCCAACTTCACTTTCAATTTGCCGTCTTTGCTTTAGCTGGAGTGTTTGGAAATCAGCCTTGTCAATAGGGTGTTTGAATGCATATTTTCCTTTACAGGTTAGTGCTCTTATTTATGCTTACAAACTGTCATGGTTTAGATGATTCAGAGAGCATCCAATACACTCAAGAAGTATTCGATACTAATGAAAAATTAAAGAAAACTAATTTCTAATTACGGATACATTTAGAAAGCAATGGATATGTAGCTGCAAGTATTCGAGGAGTATCAGTATTTGATGTGAATACAACTCCCCTGGATAAGCATCTTTGCCTTGGTTTATACCCATTTTTTTTGGGTACGGAAACAATAAAGCCAGGATTTTATTTATATCATGATTTCAAAATTAGTTACAACTTTGTAAGGTTAGTTTGAGCCTATTTGGTGCAACTTTCTGCAAGTTAAAAGTTGATAATTAAAAAATAGAAGCGAAAAGCATATCTCTTTCACCTTTTTGATACTCAAATTTTAAGCTTGTTTAAGTTATTTTCGCCTCCTAAACTTTTAAGTAGAAGAAACTGTACTAAAATTCTGACATAGATTAAAAAAAAAAAAAGAAAAAAAAAAAGCTATAGATAGTCTCAATAAATTGTACCAAACATGCCCAAGTATTTGTTTGTATAGCGATCCCGGTTTTCCTCCATTGTATATTGTGTTTCGGACTTAGGTTCCGTAGTTGTTGGTTGTTGCCTATATCTTGTTTCCATCCTTTAATTCCTTGTATTTGAGTTTTGAGATATATTGGGCAGGTTTGTAACAGGTTGGGTGTGATTTGAAATAAATGGTTGTTGTCCAGATTTTAGTTTCTTCGCTCGAGCGAGCTTTGTGTTTTAGTTCCTTCGCTCGAGGCAGGATTCCTTCACTCGAGCGAGCTTTGGGTGGTGTGTCTTTTGACTTGAGCGAGCACTCTTGCGCTCGAGCGTGCGTCTGCGTCTCTTTTTGACCCGAAGGTTGTGTTTCTTCGCTCGAGCGAGCGAGCTCTATATTTTGGGTTTCTTCGCTTGGGCGAGAACTCCTGCGCTTGATCGTGCTTCTGGGTTGCAGACCTGAAGCTTCGCATTGTTCGCTCGAGCGATGCTTCTTGCGCTCGAGCGAGGTTTCTTTGTGTCTGGTCGCTCGACCGACCACTTCGCTCGAGCGAGCCTCGAGTATATCAGTTGCAGCAGCGTATTTCTTCTTCAACTTTTCATTCCTTTTTTCCTCAAAACCCTAGATCTGACTATTTCTCTCTTTATACACTACTTCTCTCTACAAGTACTCTTGATTTAGAGTGTCTCTACCTTAGTCCCTTTGTTAAAAGGCTTGAGCTTCTCGTGGGTTACATTTTGATCCGAAAAGGTTGGGATTTGGAGCATCTTGGATTTTCTCTCTTCTTCTCCTTTGAGCTCCTCAATTTGAGGTAGGGATAACCTACTCCTTTCTATGAGTTTTGACATAAATGTTGGGTATTTCATATAGATGGTGTTGTTTGGAAATTTTGGGAAAGTTAGGGTTTGTTTTGAAATTATAAAAATAGGGTTTTCAATTGTTAAGTTCCATGTATATGTGAGACCTTGGAAAATGGGATTATTGGTGTAAAATTGAGGAAATTGAGCCTTAAGGCTAAAGTTGAGAAAATGGGAAAAATGCCCTAATTAAAAGTGATTGATTAATTTGTATAATTAATTTGGAAATGTATGGAAATATGAAATTGAGTTGAAAATCATGAAATTGGGAAATTATGAGATTGAATGGTGTAGTTGGATTGATTAATCACTCACCTATGAAAATGTTGATAATCTATCTGTTTGATCTAAGGTGCAAATTAAATATTATTGGAGGATCTTTTAATTAATTTTTAAACCTAAAATAAATTTATGGTGAAAGTCTTCAATTTAAAGGCAAGATTTATTATTTAAAAAATAAATAAATAAATAAATAAAATAAAATAAAGTGTCAAACTAGTAAGCATATTTTGATCTAATAGTAGTTGTATTTTATTTAAATTAATGGAGAGATAAAATAAAATAAAATAAAACAAAGGGCATTTTTATCTAGAGTCATTTATGTTATGTATAACAAAGAAAAGAAAAACCCTAGGTTCCTAATCAACACTATAACAACAGCCACAGCAGCCACGGGGAGAGAGAGAGTTTGAGAGAAAAGAAGAAAAAAAAAAAAAAGGGGATTGCAAACAAGAAGTAATTTTTGGGTGTGGTAGGTCTTCATCTTTCTTTTTTTTTTCTTTGTTTTTGTTCTTTATTCTTACTCTATTATTATTTAGTTCATTGATGGAGAGGTTATAGATTTATGTATTTTGTATATATGTATACTGTTAAGAAATCTAAGGAGTTAAATTCATGTATAAAGAATGATGTAATTCTTAGTCCAAAAATTCTGCACAGAATCACTAACTTTAAAAATCAAGAAACCATATCAAACGGATGAATTTTAATCTGAAATTTTTACAGTAGATCAATTACATATTGAATAGCATATCTGAATTTGTTCATAATTTTTGGGAGTCAAAATCCATATAAATTGAGATATTCAAATCTGTCCAGGAAACCAGTCTGAAACAATAAATTCGGGAGTGTTGTTCTCTTTGGGTATAAATCCAAAAATTATCAAATTAGTTTCATTGGAACCGGTTACGAGTCTAGTTTCTTGCATTTTTTACCTTGTGTTGATTGCTCGTGTATACTAAGAGAACCATCAATTTCTTTGAAGTGCTGCAGAAAACAACCTGTTTGAATATAATAAATTATAGATAATTATTTTGATAAGCAAATCAAGTGAAACCAATTAGGTTTGAAACTTAGGATATATTAGATCATATCTGAAGGTTATTGGAATTTTTCGAACATCGTGGAGTGGGTTTTGTAATTTTCAAAGTTAGCGAATAAATTGCGAAAACTTGTTTAAAACTCTGTTTTATCTTAAAGTTATTTTTAGTGAAGTTTCGATCGGAACCTATGTCTTGGGTAATTTTAGACCTTGAAGAACATGAACTTAGGTAATATTTAAGAGTAATGGTGAGTTGGGTTGAGCCGTGTTAGTGCGCTTTAGTTGGGGGTTACTTAGTTTGTATTCTTTAGTATTTTTAATTTAGTAGTGACATGTAGTTTTCATATTGGTTCAGGGCACTAGTTGGACTTTCATACTCTATTCGAGGATTATATTATTTCGTTTTCAGGTGAGTAGTTTCATGCTACATATTTTTATAAATGTTCCCCTACCCTGAACTATTGAAAAATTAAATTGTTGTTTTAAGACTAAACTGTTTTGATAAATTATTATATTATTAATGGAATCAAATTATTTCTAAAACATGTGTGAACTTGGCATACTGTAAACTATTTGTTTTGGTCTCATGTTTATAATGATGAACTACCATGTTTTGCGAAACTGATGTGTATTGATTATTGGGACCATGTGTGTATTTAGTCCAGGGAAATTATTCCACTGTGTGTGGTGACTCTGGCCACTAGGGAACAGATCCGGGTTGGGCCGTGATGACTCTAGTGCTCAACGATTGTAAGGAAAAGACCTTTAAAAACAACTAGGTGACTTTTAATTGGATCGTCTTTGAGAAAAGGCCCAGGTGCCACCCTGAGGATGACTCTTAGTTCGATATTGGATCCAACGGGGCTTATAGCCTTGAGAACTGTGTGGCAGATTATTTGTTTTTGTTGGTACCCAGAAAATTATTGGTGTTCATATTATAATCTGTTTTAAGTGGAAAATGTCGTTTATCATGTTCTTGCAAGACATGAGTATTTTTAGTGTTGAATTGTGGAACCTTCTTTTTGAAACAAATTGTATTTACCAAACTGTATCCCAATCTAGTTTCTGTGATATATATCTTATTTTGGAATTGAACCCTGTTTTCAAAACTATATTTACTATCCATGTTGCTACTCACTGAGCTATCAGCTGATTTAGTTGTTTACCATTTCCAGGTGTTAGAAGGACTTAGAGTCGACTCATGGCGTAGCGGCGACTCAATTGCATGGACCTCGAGGGCATTTATTTAATTTGTTTTAGGTTGCTTTGTCGAGTTTTGTGCATACATTGTGGTTGGGTTTTATTTAGAATTATTTTAATTTACGGGAGGTTTGTGTCCCATTTAGTATATATATATATATTTAGGAAGTTGGTTATGACTTGTTTTCACTTGTGGTATGTCACTGGATTGAGTGTTGATTTATTTATTTCTGGGCTATCATTGCATTTATTCTTTTTGGTTTTTGGGTTCATGTTTAGGCTTACGTGTGTCTTGGGCTAAGTCCCTGTGGGTCACGGCCGGTCATGCCTGGATTTGGGGTGTGACAAAGTTACCTAAAAAAAAACATGGATATGACGTGATACGAACATGTTGACATGGACATTTTCAAACAAGCAAGGCATAACAGGACAAAGAACAGAACAAAAAAGTATATATATATATATAAGGAAAAATTAGTCTAGGGTCCCTCTCCCACTTTTCGTAATGGAAGAGATCCACAAAATTATTTTTTGATGTCTAAGGTCCCTAAACATATATCAGAGAAATTTGACTCTTTGTCTCTCCTCCTCTACTACAGAGCAGCACTTCCTCTCTCTCTCTCTCTCTGAAACCCTAGAGAGAAGAGATGGGCAAAGCAACATGAGGAGCCGAGGCTGTAGAGTTGGATAGGCTCATCTTCAGAATCGGAGTTGGATAGGCTCGTCTTCAGAATCGAAAGCATATCGAAGACTCGGATTGATTCTATCAAGAAAACGAACGAGGTTCAATCAGCTCTCCATCAAATGCCACTGCCGAATCCGATTCCTCCACCAAACCACACCGCCTCTCAAGGAGTCTCAGTCGCTTCTTCCGGCTCCTTTCGGACCCCCCTGAATTTGCCGACGCTCTGAGAGGGAGATCATCACCAAATCAGACCTCCACCGGACACACGGTTCTGTCCATGGTTCACTCACGCTCGAGTTTGCCCTTTGGTCGCCGATGGGAGTACGAAATCGCACAAGATGTCCACATCACATAGATCCAGCATTTGACCCTTCTGATGTCCCATTCAGTTCCATGAATTTCTTATATTAAAAACCATCCATCCAAACTTGGTCTGGCCCGTTGGTGGACCCTGGTGCTGTCGGTGCTCCCAGAAGAAAGAAAGATAAGAAGTCTGCTCGGATCAAGGGGAATGAAGGGTTGTAATATAATCTCTGGTTCTTACGGGAGATACAATTCATGAATTTACATGTGTTGCTCGACCAGTATGCCTTTAATACAAACTAGAATACCTGTTAAATTTCATTGAGAGAGTAAAATATCTTGTGTGTCATATTTCTTTTATGTCCTATTTTTTGGATTGGCAAGAAGCTTCTGTAAGTTGCAAGAGTTCATGAATCATGGTGGGGTGATCTTCAAAACCTATGTGGTTGGGGACTATGTGAAATTCGTGAAGAGGATTGTATTCTTTGTTATCATGATATTTGTCTTCGAGTGCTCGCAGTCGCAGCAAAACAGGATTCTGTGCTCATGGTTTATGTTCTTCATTAATTGATTTCTCTTTGCACAAAAACACATTTTAATATATATATATATATATATAGGTTGCTATTGTTTCTTATTCACTCAATG